ATAAATAACAAAATGATGTCCACATTTGCGAAATAAAACGTGAAGGTTGTGAATTTAATATGTAGGGCAAACAAAACTGCTAAATCCGACTACCCTACATATATGAGTGGTGGGAATGGTTTTTAAGACTATATTAGAGTATTTTATTTATACATATCTCGACCAAAGTGTCATCAAACACCCCTGTAAAATAAGAGAGAATGTAAACCCAGCGAAAAGGCTATTTGTTAGTTAATATTAAAAAAAATGGTACGAATTAGGCTACCTTCCCCTAATTAAAGTTACTCCAATTCTTTTGCACCTGCACTACAATTTATTGTCCTTTAAATAGTGCCGTGTGGATCTAGAACTAGAGTGACCTTATTGAATGTTATACCTCATCTATTTAATGATTATAACAGCTATAAACATTAGATTCGATTAAATTTTGTTATTGCACTCGAGAAATTAGAAGGAAACGGGAGAAATTGTTCAATTTAACAAATAGCGCCCTAATCATGCACAGCATTACAAACAGTTCTCTGCTGATTGTCTAATCGTAAGTTTTGGGGCAGACGAGCGGACGGGCGGACCAGAATGGTCGATCGTCTTGCATCTCTACGTATGCATGTCTGTACATAAATTGCTGCTCAATTATCTCCGAAACTAAGCCGTAGACGCCGGGAACGGACCAGGAATACGAAATTAACCAAACAACAAATCATCGCCGCTACAACGTCTCCGTTACTACGATACACAAACTTATTAATGTGACTTAACACTGGCAAACCGAGTTCCCTAAAGTGCTGTTGAGAAATTAAATTTTACGATATGATACAAATGTACAATGCACAACTAGGTACATACACGTGTGATTACAGCATCCTTCGTACGGTGAGATGCGGATACTTGTTAAAACTAAATACTACCACATGTAGAACAGGCAGTATCCTATATGTTCCAGGGGAATTGGCTGAAAATCGCCATTGTGTTGGAAAAGTTTAGACTAGACTTTTTACAAGTAAATCCCTAGACAAAAATTTTCAGTCTCTCTCCAGTCCCTCAGAGTCTTTCAGCGTCTCTGAGAGCGTCTCTCAGTCTTTCACAGTCTCTCAGTTATTGTCTAGGTGTTTTTATGGATCTCTCACAGTCTCAGTATGAGAGACTCGAACGATAAAATTGTTAATTCAGAGATTCGAGTCTCTCACAGAGAGACTGAATGAATAAAACTGAAAAACTGAGAGACTTAAGTCTCTCGTAGAAAGACTGGAATCTCTGAAATACGTTGAACTTAGAAAATTTTAACCATGTCTATCGAGACACCACTTATTGAAAGATTAGAGTTTCTCGTTCAGAGGCTGGATACGAAATGGGGATCTCTCTATGAGCGACTCTATGAGAGACTCAATGAGAGATGGAGACTCGAGTCTCGCTTTCAGAGACTCTGAGAGACTGAACATTTTTATCTTGGGATTAGTAAAAAATTAATAAATTGTGCATATGCTCATAAGTGCGAATAATTTTATTTATAAACAATTTAAGGTCGTTTTTTCAATGTTTTCTTCGGTTGATTCTAGTGAAAAAAGTTAAATGAAAAAGTTGTTTAGCATCGCTTTTTCAATAAGGGTAAGATTTTTGAAGAAAGAAATTTTCTTCAATAAATGAAGATGTATTAGGAAAATGCGATTTCTTTCGTGTCTACTTTTAAGATAGAAATCTGACCACTATTGCATTGAAATTGTAAGAAAGAAAGGCTTTTTTAAAGTTATTAATCCTGATAAAATTCTTTCCAGTCTAATAAATAGGTGAGTAACAATTAATTTGTTAATAAAAGAAATTTATTAATTTGTTAATGTTACCAAATGTTAATTATTAATCCGTTATGATCTGTACTCGCACAGAATATGTGCACTTTTATCATATCCAACCATTAAAATTATAATTTTTTAATATTAAGCGTTGTTTTTGGCTTCTTTTCCTATATCTTCTATAGTGCCTTTTTCCTATTTTTTCTTATACCTTCTTATTTCTAACCCCTTTTATTCACACTAGAACAATGCACTTCAAATGCTTGTAGCAATAGATACGCATTTACCAATTTTTTTCAAATTTCTAAACTTTTCATTCGGTTTTATTCCATTTTTTTGAAATTTCTTTTGAAAAAAAGCAAGCAATAATATTCAATTTATTGCATATCTATTTAAATTAAATTCTAGTGATGTAATAGCAAAAAACCATACAACACGTTAGTTGAATCTATAAAGAAAACTTTGTTTGCTGTTTTGTTTTTTTTTTTTAATGAGGACAATCAATCTTTAAGAAAAGTCCCTAATAACGTCCTCCCAAGTTTCTCATTTAGGTAGATACATTATTCAGGCAATTACACGTTTGCTCAAGTTGGACCATTTAGTACAGCGTCGAGCCTCAGAAATATTTCATATCACTCGCTCCCTTCTGTCAGACCTATGTGTAATTGATACCAACATTTAGCCTTCGGCAAAAAGTATTTTCGAAAAGGTATTAATTGTTAAGAACAACCACAAGTATAAATTTTTAATTCAAAAGTTGAGAATTAACTGCAGATAGTAAAAATATATAATTTCTGATACAGTGTTTATTTATCAATATGCTGAATCTGTGTTGAAGTGTATAGATGATTTAATAATTTGCTAGATTCCAGCATTTCTGAATTACAACATGATTAGGAAGTCATACAATTTAGGATGGAAGGAAAATAAGAAGTCTAAAAAAGGGCATACCGCAGGGTAGAGTTGCCTTTAACGAAAAGAAGTCACTTTTATGCTCGGGAACAGTTAATTTAGAAATTCGAAAAAGATCGTTAAAGGTGTACGAGTGCGAAACATGCAGGGTGGACGTGGAGATAAGAAAAGGTTAAAAGCGTTCGAAATAAGTCAAATGATGGGAATACCGTGGATAGAATTGGTTAGAAATGAGGACTTATTAGAAAGAGTAAAAGAGCAAAAGGCGTTATGGAAATCAATCAGATATAGACGAGATATGTTCAGGCACGAAGGTAAGTAAGATATATTGGAAGCAGAAACAGGAGTTAAGATGTGGAATGTGGGATGTTCTAGTTTAAGGAAAAGATTAACTCTGGATAGGAAAAAGTGGAGCCACGTCTCCAACCAGTCTTAGGACTGACAATCTCATGATCATGATGATGATTTTATTTTCTGGTTCCGTAGTTTGATTTGAAATTATTTTTATTCAATTACTTTTCTATAAATCGCCATGATCTATTCTTGAATTTTTGATGCAAGATTTATTATACATTTAGATTTAATCTGTATTGAAGTAAGTAAAATTTTCTATATATTAACCATTTCTCTGAATATACCATACTTGTACCTATTTATTTTCTAGTCTTGTTGTTTTTACTTGACACCTTTAATCAATTAGTTGACCAGTCATTTAAAATCCGAGACCCTCTCGTGACATTAAGTATTATTAAAAGACCCCTAATCGAGTCAATATATTGGTCCTTTCGAGAGTTTGGGTTAAAAGAGAACCCGAACAGATTTAACAAGTTAGACTAACTTTAAAGCCAAACTCGATTCATTTTGCAGTCCGAAGGAACCCAGTGCAAGTTAATTACTTTGAGAAATGTTGTAAAATAAAAGTTACTGTACTACTACCTATAGTCCACGACTTTTTGTAGGTGCTTATCATATACATGCATTTGGATTGTGAAATATTTCACAACAAATTTATAGCTAACTACAAAAGTTTTACATAAAAAAAATAATCGAAAATTATACCATCCACAAGATATACTTCAAATTTGTGTAATAATAAGTAATACCAATTCGTTTCACCTCTAGTTTTCGCTTAATTAAATCCAACCGAATGAGAATGAGGGAGTTTCTTAGTGATTAATTTTTTTTGACGTAAGTACAGGGTGCTTCTAGTGTATTTTTTATTGACCACAAATCTAAAGGATTTTGTTACTGTAGGTATCATAATTCCGCTTCCCGTATTTGTTAAATGCTTAGCTTTATTTAAAAAAAATTATTTTTATTATTATTATTTTTATTTAGAATTACTTTGCTATACTTCGTTTATTTTCTCTAGCGATGTGCCCCTTCCAATGTCGCGCTGGCAAAATCGTAGATAGGGAGAAAAAAGCTCATTATATTCTCGACTCTTGTTCATTAAACATGCTTTTTCATACAGTACCTGCCAAAAGTTTTGTTCAATTATGAATAGTAGTGCGAGTCGAAAAAAAGCGTTAAAGCCTTTAATATGTCTTCAAATATGAATAAACATCTCGTTGATATTTTCAGTATCTAGTAATTGGTACCAATAACAGCACATTTGAGCAATGCAATTTTAGTGGATAAAATGGTCAATTTTTCCGTGCAGTACTGTACGGATTATACACTCGTTAGTGGTTAAGAGTTTGGCCGAGAGTTGTCTCCTTCCTTTTCTGGCCTAGTGCTGTTCTTTTCTAGTTTGCGCCGGTCAAACTAAACGTCACATCGCTAGAGAAACTAAACGAAGTATACGTCTGTTGAATTTGATTACTCTTACCCTTATACCTCTAGAACCTTTTTGTAGGACGAACTATAAGCTTATTTGTTTACTCATATATTGGTAATAACGTGATATAGTCATAAAACAATTATCAGTAATATATAAAAATAGTGTCAATAGGTTAATTTGCCATTTCTAAATGGTGAAGAATTTGTCTCATTTTACATATAGTGACATACATTATGCTATGAGCTAATTAGTTAGTTTTTAATTATTAATTACTACTGAAAATTCTAAACAACAATCTGATGTTGTACATTTTTTGAGACAGTATTTACATCCAAAAAAGTGATAAACTTTAGACGTTGACTATGTTAGGTTGTCTGACATGTTCTCTGTTCAATGTTCAATCAGTCGAGTAATTTTCACTTAACGTAACCTTAGGGATCAAGTAAAAATTGTGTAAAATTTCATAGTCAAAGAGTAAGTCGATGCATCGCCATTAGACGTGCGAACTTTAACTTCAATCAATCCGTCATTATCAGGTGGTTGTCAAGAGTACGATGCTTAAAGGGGAATGGTGAACGCATGAAGAGTGGATCGTTATATCTATAGATTGTATGTAACTTACCCTGGGAGGTCTGACTCCCCCGTTGAAAAGGATCAAACCGTTGGGTTCATTTGTGCGGAACTTGAAAGATATATTCCCTGACTTCTTAGCATTCCACGACGGCAGGATCTGCAATGAATCAAATCGGTAAAATCGAGAAAAATAACAAGCTGAGACGGTTTTACGTTCTTTTCACGTTATGCTAACTACCAGGTAAGATTAATGCATTTCTAGAAAAGAGATTGTAAGATTCCCAATACCCTCCTGCCAAGTCTTGCTCGTCCTTAACCGACGAATCCGTCAAGTTTCTCATTCATCAAGATTTACGAAAGAAAAAATTGCGCTTATGATATTTCCTTCATTCTAATATTTTTTTCTTTACTTTAATTAGGTTGAGAGCTTGAATATATGTATAATACAGTCCAATTAGAAAATAGTTTGCCAAAACCGAGTTAATAACTTAATTTAACTTTTCCATCGCCGTCTCAGATCAATAAGTTTTCCCTTTTGATTCTGTTTAACCTTCTTTAATAAAAAAGTTATTTCGAATTTGTTTTATAAAATTGTTCATTTTATGGAAAATACTTTTTTATTACATAGCCTATTCCTACTTTACGTTTTCCGTTGGTTGAATTTTAGGGTCCAAAGTTCGTTATTTTTCGAATATTTCGATGCTTTCATTCAACACATTCCTGTAGTATAAGTCTTGAGGACATTTCCACGGTGAGTTTTTTCGATGTTTTTGAATTTTATACAAATCTTGAATCGCATATATCTTTTATTTGATGTCACTCATAATCATGATGATGATCATGATCATGTTTACGATTGCAAGCATTCAATCAATTTGAGCCATGCCACCGATCTTCCGGAATGTCGAGACCTTTAGTTTGAAGTATAGTACATGTATTACCTGCAACCTACGCATACTTATCAACACTATCATAATCTGATTTAAAAATCAATTAATATTTTTTTCTTCTAATTGTATAATTTAATCGAAAGAGTTGCGTTTCAATGAGACAAATCAAAAAGAAGTATTTGGGAAAGATATATTGACTATCAGAAAAAGCTTTTTTCTCGTTTTAAATGTAGCTTTTGTCATAATGCTTAGATAATTAATAACTAACTAAAAGCTGAATAATAATAGATCATATGATAAAATTCCATTTAAAGATGAGATATGTGACGAAATTGATTGAATACTTTTAAAAAGTTAAATTCCCCTTGATAAGCAAAACTACGGTATTTCATCATTGTATCATAAAATATTTATCGCAATTATACAATGACATTAAAGAGATTGATAGGTACCTAAAAATACATTAAAATTTTGTTTATGGGTCTTTCGGAAAAACATGGACTCAATTTCTATTTTTGACTGGACGTTTTGTAAACTTTTTGTTACAATTTTAGATTCTAGTTAACATTCTGATCAAATTTCATGCATTGTTCCTTTTGTCTTACGCTTAATAGAGCAATTTTAAAGAAGAAACAGTTACATTTTTGTATAAAATACACTTTAGATTTTACCTATGCGGGAGCATAAAAATGTTTTTGAATTTGAGTTGTTCTTGAAGTTATGAAAGTCAAAGGCAAAGAGTGAATAGAAGGAAGTAAGTATTTGCTAGTCTGTCTTCTTATTTTTAGTGAAAAATAGTATTATTTTTTTTCAATTTTAACTCGAAATACCTATATAATTTCCAATCGAAATGAAAACAAGTAATTTTTTATTATTCTAGGTTGACATTGTCATATTCTCTAGACGGTAGTTAATTAGAATGTCGAATATTTTGCGGGCCTTTAAAGGTTGAACGAGGTAGCCATGAAATAAGTACATAATACATGGAAAAATTACTACTAGTATGTAAGCAATAAAGTAAGGAAGGAAGAAATCGAGTGGCGGCGGCAGTGGTCTAGTAGCTGAATCACAGATTAGCATTTGGGAGAACACCGCTTTGACTCCAAATTTTACCGGCCTACGTCTAAGTTTTCCTGTAGTCCTCTACAGCTAGGGTCATTACCTAGTTGTGGTGAGGGTCACTTGCGAAAGTATAGGGAATTTAAAAGACCCTTGGATATTAGGAGGCAAAGTGTAGTATGAGAAGCAGCTGGCGGACATGGACGAAGGTCCAACAGAATACACTCGGTTGAGCCCCGAAGGAAAGTAATCGGCTGCTGATAGGAAACGTGCTGTATGGCTGATGTGGAGAAGAACTTGCCCTTATTGATATAAATAGCAATATTGAGAGGGAGGCTACTTAGGTGCGGTCACCTGTACTTCCAGTAAAAAATGATTGGAAACTTTGAGAGGCGTCGAAGATCTACGGACCTCTTGCTGTATGTTCAAAATGCTAAAAGTGAATGTATCGGGTGTAGTCACAAAGAAGGAGGATAACCTGACCCATCAGGGGAGTTACGACATGGAGCGTGAAGTAAATGTGGGCGCTAAGCGTCGATCGAGAAGAACGCCTGACCCATTAAGGGGACATACTTATTAACGCGAAACTATAATTTCTCGGTTTAACCAGGAGGTCGAAGAATAATCAGTAAGAAGGAGACACGTCAAAACCGATGTCGCCCAGCGAGGAGAGCTTCGAGGAAATTGATGCTCATTGGAATACTTATACTGATGCCTCGAGGGCGGGTGGGCCTAGTTGTCTTACTTCGTAGCTTACCCTGACAATGGATGTTAGATTCGAGGCATAAGAAGGTTTATAGCGTATATACTCAGTTAGGGTTGTTGCCCACCCCGTTACACAGTTACCGATCTTGAACGTACTAAGTGTTTGGGTAGAACAGAACTCGCTGGCTTCCTGGGACCAATTGATCTGAATGAGAAGAGACTCCAGGGAGTCTTTATACCATCCGGGTATCCGGTACTGTTTTGGGGTGTGGATAATCCTCACAAGACAGATACTGCACGTTAAATATACTTTAGTTGTAGTTTCATTGGGTCATGTAGGAAAATCATGAGTCAGTAATATTGCACAGATAATCTTTTAGTGTCCTTCTAATCATATGATTATTGTCTTTCTAACTACCACCTAGTCACGATTCCTAAATAATAAATTCCTTATACTCATCACTTTGTACTTTGGTAGGATAGCCCGTCAAGTAATATAATGCAATACAACAATGTGTTTTATAGACATGGACATTCAGCATAATTTTTGATGCGCTTCTCAAGTTTTCGTTACATAAATGATGTTTCCGTTTGAACCTCCTTGAATTCACGTCCGCACGTCAAAATTCAGTTGCTTCTACTTTTCTTCTTTTGCTTCTTGTTAGTTCTGAGCGTAGACTTGTAGATAACACTTTAAAATTTTAATTTATGGAGATCCTTCAGACGTGTATATCTAGCGTTCAATGTTAAACTTTGAATAAATAAAATCGTAACGCCCGTCATCTGGTTCATAGTGACGTCTGTAGAAATTTTCCGTAGACTTTTTAGTAGAATGTTTCCGAATCGATAAATTTTCATATTTAAAGGGGCTTTCGTTCTGTAATGCCTATTTTGTTAGATATGTCTGCTAAAATGTCCGGGAATTTCAACGAGACTTTGGCAATGTTAGAAAGAATTGTATTTAAGTCAATAAGGGAGCCTTTTTAAGGCAAGAAGGACATTGAAGGAAGTATAGAGTATACAAAAATGCGTCTAATACATACTAATACACTATCAAATCAATATATACGGAAAAGAGTATCTGCATTGGAGTAATTTCGTATAGGAAAGCTTTAAAAATGATGTCTGCCGCTAACCTAATTTCTATCAGTATGAATGGCTTACCAAATGAGATTCCCTGGTCGTGAAAGTAATCGGGTCCCTCGTTTCGCCAGCTGGACAGCGATATTCGAGTCGACCTGCAGTTGAAATAAGCTCACTCCCAGATTTTCCTAATTCGAGCAAATTCAACCTCATAGTGTCTGCAGTGAATTCGACCTGCAAGGAATATTTCAATTTTAAACAAGCTTAAAATAGGTTAGAATGTTCACAGTAAATGAAATATTTCTCTTACTAAATGTTATATAAATTCATAACTCGTACATTACACTAATTTGTCTGCTCACTTTACTGCATAAATATATGGTCAAATCGTTGAAATCCTATGACATTGCTAGTTACTTACGAGGGTGGATTGATAAGTTTCCGGCCTAACCAAGAGATGACGCCACTAGGCCTACCTTGAGGTGACATTCTATAGTACCATCCTTGGATAGCTTGTAGCTATAGTTTCAGCCCGATCTCCTTGCTAGTGTAGGTTTGACAGCACGCTGAACAAGACGCCTCTGTGGTTTTCGTAAAAATGGAAAAGCAGGAAAATCGT